GCATGGCCCTCAATGTCTGGTAAATGAGCACAAACAATCTCTCTACCCTTTGTGCCATTCCTTGGGATACTGATAGCATCCATTTACAGGGAATCACTGAAGTACCCCTGGCCTGTCTGTTTCGCTGCTACTTCTGTGCTGTAGGTGGTTTTCAACAGGCTGCTGGCTCTCCAGTGAGTTTACAAAATATCGACGTTGTTTACAACCGTGTAATTTGGCATGATGAAACTTTAACAACACTAGAACCAGCAAAAAATATACACAGCTCAATGAAAAATACGTGAATACTAGAAAATAACGCGTACACTTTACTAACCTTAATATTTGGCCACAAAATCGCGTCTACATCGTCGCTTGACACCAAAAAAACTCAATGATTAGAAGACAGTCAACGTTCTCCCACTACCAAAATGGCCGCTTATTCTCCTTCTCAACGTTTGGTCGGAAAAAGTCCTGGATAATGCTGGCCAGACTCTATGCGAGACTGGAAACAACATATTTTCTTTGTCCGCATAAAAGGTCCGCCATTTTCCCTGCTAACAATAGCTTCATGACGTCATGACTGTCCTAATTTATCGGGATATTCCGGACTGGTAAATAGTTCGATCTTACTGATGGACGTTTTTAGCATTGCAATTATTGTAAGATATGTATAGAACGAAGTGGGAAGTAGCTAGTCTTCGATAGTTACTTTTAATTTTTACTGGAGTAAAAAAAAAATATTTCAGCAATTTCTTTATGAATGAAAAATTCAAATATAGCACGTTTTTGGGACATTTTGCCTAGTATTACAGTGTAAGTATGAATTTTCCTGCAGCTTAAAGTTACTTTTAGCATTGTTTGGGAAAAATCGAATACATCTAATTTTTAGGGAAATTTAGGTTACTAAACTTAGTGTCAAATTTTTTCACAATTGTAATTTTTGAAAAATTTGCTCGACCTCCTTTTAATTTAACAATTATTTCCCGAAGTGGGAAGTAGCTAGTCTTAGAAAGTTAACTTTTAATTTTTGCTGCATTAAAAAAATATATATTTCAGCAATTTCTTTTTGAATGAATCTTCAAATATAGCCAGTTTTAAGGACATTTTGCCTGGTATTACAGTGTAAGTATGAATTGTGCTGCAGCTTAAAGTTGCCTTAAGTATTTTTTGTGGAAAAAATCGAATACATCTAATTTTTAGGAAAATTTAGATAACTAAACTTAGTGTTAAATTTTTGCACGATTGTAATTTTTGAATAATTTTCTCAACCTGCTTTTAATGTAACAGTTACTTTGAAAGGCTTTGAAAGGTGAGATTGCATGAGGATATTCCTTTTTAATTTTATTTTTTAGACACCCAAAACCTGCACCCGAGTGAATCCAAAGGTCCCGTTCCCCATTTGACACCGCCAAATCTAGAATCAAAAAAGCTTCCCGCAGAACCATAAAAAGTTCCTTAGACTGGTCTAAATACACGTGACCCTGAGCATAGATTCACTTAAGAGGTTTTGAGCGAGTCAATGTTAGGGAGTTTACGAAACCACGACGGCAACGGCCACGGGAACGTCCCTGAACAAGAGTATTAATGACCAGTACATGTGCAACGGCTGTGCATGTGCGTTATCATTCTCAGTACATTTCATTGCCGTCCTCTGCAAAACAACAACGTGACATGACCAAATTCTGCGTTGTCTAGAGAACTTGAACCACGCGCGACGGCTAATTTTTTTTAAATTTTTATTTCAAATTAATCGCTGTGTTCCGGATTTAGTTTTGTGATAGTTTTGACAGTGATAAACAAAGTAAATGACTTAGAGTAGATTCATTTTTTAATCGACGTTGTCCTC